GTCAGAGCTCATATTTGTGCTGCTTTGGAGTGAAACAGAGCGAAAAATGTATGTAAAGGAGAAACGTACTCCTGCAGAATGGATGACTGAAGATCTTTGGTGAAGTCGAAGATGGCAGCAATGGTTAACAGAGAGATGACAAACGCTGCCTCTGTGGGATATAAACACGTGACGTGAGTGGTGTGTGTTTGTTGGCTACAGTTGATGTTTGTATTTCAATTCCCGGCTCAAATAAAGCCTCCATCTCCCAAATCCGTTATTATATTCTATTATTTAGCTTTCATCAAAGTGTTTGTGATTGAGAAATATAAAGACATAATTGTCAGTAAATATTAGTTTAAAGGTCTAAATTATAAGAACCATTTCATAATGAGATTTCAAAACTAATCATAGCATTGTCCTTGAACATTCTACCATTTCTGTCTTTTGTTTTGCTTTGCAAAGAAGTGGAATCACAACTTTCCAAAGTCCTTACCTTTGATGTTTTCTGTTGCATTTTTGTACACGACCTCAGCCAGTTTGCCACTAAGAATCTCTGGAGAGAATTCATATTCACCCTGGAAGAAAGTGTGAAGAGAAAAATTATTCATTCGACAAACACAAAAACCTAAACTTCAGTGTGTGTGTGTGTGTGTGTGTGTGTGTGTGTGTGTTCTTGTTCTTCCTCCCTCTAGAACCTCCTGTGGCCTCTTCAGCAGATCATCAACCAACAATGTGTTAGCCCTCACAAATTTTGAGAGCAAAGCATTTCTGCTTCCTGTCTGGTAACTCCATCTCCAACACATGTCCAACACTATCACAACCATGTCTCTCTAACTTTATATACAAAAAATATTGGTCACTGGTCACTAGCAGTTAAAATCAAACCACACATCCCAGCAGGTGTCATTGCAGGCTTGTAGACTTATAATATGGCTTCTATTCTGTCCAGTGATGCCTGCCATGGCATTTCTCAAGCATTCTTTAAGTTTTTTTGTTTTACTTTTTATTCATTTTTATGCATATGTGTACGTGTTACTGCCTTTGTGTCGCTCCTGCACTGTCCTAAAACCCAGCCACATTAACTCATGTATGTGTGCCTGTGTATTTTTCTTTCTACAATACTCTGAATTCATCCAAATACCAACAGACTCACCAAATCCACCTCTGCCTTCTCCAGCTCTTCCTTTTGCTTCCTCAATTTCTCACAATGGAGCAGCTCCATACGAAAATACTTAAAGATATAAGACAAGATATAGTTTAAGTTACAGGGTCTAACCAAAATTCTATAACCCCTGGCAAACACATTGTGTAAAAGTTTTCCTTTTACCTCCTGGTAGACTTTCTGGTTGTTTGGGTGGAATCGCAGCGCCCTTAAAAACAGGTGGCGGGCACTTTCAGAAGAATCCCGATCCTCCAATTCACTCTTAGCTGCCATAATCCACAGGGCTAGGATCAAGGAATAACAGCATCCAAAGAATTTTTATTGTAAAGAAAGTGAAGGTTTCCACAGAGGCTGAAGACACGTTCCCTACAGTTATCTGTACCTGGTTTATCAGAGTGAATGGCAAGCATCGTAGAAAACACCTTGCTTAGTTGGGTTTTGGTGGCCTTAAAAAAACAACAACAACAACAACAATATATTGAAATATGAATTTCAATTAAGAGAACAATTGTTTTTACAAAAGCTAACAGAATGCCACATACCCATTTTCTGCAGAAGGCAACATGTGAAAGCCAAAGCTGCACATCATCCTGTGGGAAACAAAACATGGTTCAACTTATACATACATATACATATATATATACACACACACATATATATATATATATATATATATATACTGTATATGCACACACTGGTTAACATTGATCTGACTTGACAACTAAATACAGCATTAATTAGTTGATGTGGTGATGTGTTAACCCCTGATACAGTAGTAAAATATATTGTCATTACAGTACCTTCCACTTATACGTCGCCCTCCTGAAAATACTGTTTATTCTATGGATGATGGGGAACTCGATTTCCTCTCGTTTGAACTGATAGTGTATGTGCTGCAAAACAAAAGGAAAGATAAGAAAAGTTCATCTCTAGTATCTAAAAGCACCACTGAGAATACTGTAAATCAACTTCATAAGAATAGTTTTCCTGAACCTACAATAAACATTGACAATTGTTATATGTAGAGCCTGAAGGAGAGACGTTGAGAACCTTTTCCATTTCAAGTCACTTACCGCTCATCTTTTCTTGACCAGCTCTAAAACGTTGATTTCATACTGCAATGAAAAAACAATGTCTTTTTAACAATATTTCTCATCCACATTGTATTCATATTAACAGATGAACACCGTACCTGAATGTATGCAATGAAGTCCTCTTTGTTTATAATCACCCTGTGCAGCTTGTATTCCAGGGCTGTAGCTCTCTTTATTATGGATCTATAACAACAGAAATGTGCCGATGAAAAAGAAAATCAATAATAGTTAGTGATTTCTGTACAAAGTTATCACCTAATTTTAAGTATTGAACTGAGGATGATTTTGCCAAAGATTTAAATGGAACTGTATAATAGATGTCGATTTAACATAACAGTTATAATAATAATTAAACTCAACGGAAATCATGCACATTGTACACATAAACAACAGCTCAGCTGGTTTTAAATGACTTTATAAATTAGGTGATTTTAAGTGACTAATTAAGTGACACAAGTTAAATTTAACTTAATAATATATATATAAAGTTAATATGTAAGTCCTAGTTTGGATCCTTCCGAACAATTACATTAACAGTTTAAAATCAAATATTACGAAACATGAATCAATTTCCCACCAATGGAACGTCATACCGCTCATCTTTTAAATAACACTACACTACACTACACTCTCTTAGTTCGATGAAATACTTTCATAGAGAGGACAGTGCTGTCCTGTCCTGAGGACTAGGGTCTAGCTGAGCGAACACCGGAACCCGACTTACTTGACTTCTTTCTTGGTGAACAGTCCCACTCTTTCCAGCTGCTCGAGCTCCGGGATCCTCTCCTCAATTCGCTGCTGAACGATTTCCGCCATGGTTTACACGGAGGCGTCACGAATTCACACACATATATGATCACCTTCGCACTGGAATGTAATACAGATGATCGTTCTAGCATGGACACATGTGAGGAAGTTGTGATCGGCGATGCTTCCGGTTCCGTCCGCAAATACGTCCGACGGGGGAAACTGAAATGGTGACGGTACATACACCGTACCTTTGAATGAACTTTGACAAGTAAAGATCTTTAAAAAATAGTTATTTTTGGTAATTTAATCGGGTTGATACTGTAACGGTTATCCTTAAGGTTAAATAGTCGTTCATTCATAGTCAGAAAAATATTTATTCACTATTATAAAGCATGCCCCTTGGTAATAGTCATATTCGAGGAAAATGAAGTTGCACAGTCTTATGTGAATACCCTGCAGTATTATTTAATGTAGTATTGAATCAGATGATTCAACAAACTAAATTGAGAAGTGTGCTACCACTACATATTTTTTTATATAGGCCTACACATAAAAATCATGTACAAGATGGAAAGTTGGGTGAGAAGAAGAAAGTAACATACACTGGTTCTGTTTTTTTAATAAAGACTTTAATAAGGGTAAAAACTAAAACATTAACAACACAGGAATGATTTATTTCGTTCCTTGCTTTCTACAAAAACACAGTAAAACATTGTTGGTGTAAACAGGTGCTGAACATACGTATCTTATCCATATAATTGCAAACATGAATACCTGGAGAAATGAACATAATTTGCCATGCACTGTAACCCCCTGCATATGATCAGAATAATCAATAATTCATCCTGACCACAATTATATACATAGGGAATGCATGTCTACATGACTGGTTTCCAACATTTTCTTTCCAGACAAATCATTAATAGACATTAATAGACAACTCATATGGGACGAAAAGTACAACTTATAGAACATGGCGTCACAGGTGCTGTGGGGACTACAACTACAGTGACCCCTATAGACAAACCGTGTGAATGACAAACTATTCGAAAACACAAGAACGTGTCCACCTAGTGGCAGGATTACACAACTGATTTACACCTGAATATGGCGAACTTGTGTTAAAGTCATTTAAGATTATATTCACACTGCTACGTGTGTTGGGGTCTATCTGTGTTTTCTTATATCCACGCACTCACGCTTACTTTCCGTACATTACTCCAGTCCCATAATTCTAAACGTGATTTTTTTTAAAACGGTGCTTTTTACGTCATTTTTATTCAGTTTTGTCTCCTTTTTTCTATTACCAAATCCTAGAATTGAATAGGACGATTCATCTCTGTGTACGTCGTTGCTTCTATTTCCTGTATAAGATACGAACACTGATAAACTCGATTTCCCGCAAAATCGCAAAAAGCGAGAGCGGGTTGTATGTCATCTCCGGCCGACAGCAGCCAATCATAGTGCCGCCTTGTGTCTACCCTCTTGCCATTGGCTGACAACTGACTCCAGCTCTGTTGTTCAGTACAAAACTGAAGGGAACGGTTCCGACCGTAATTATCATTTTAATACCGACAAGTTGATTGGAAACACCTTCAAAACAATATCTGATAACGGTCAACAACAAGGGTTTGCTTGTGAGGTCGTCATGCCGTCTGTGTTCACCCTTTTGAACTGAGCAAGCGTCTGGTCACCTCCCCTTCATCTTCATGGCTTTCTGCTTTTGAGTCTGCCAGGCTTGAGCTGAAGGCAGCGAGGCAAGCGAATTAATGCCATCGGCCAGGGTGAGTCTGCTGTTAGTTGCCCCTGATGTTCAACACATACTGGAATATATTTGTATTTTGTCGAATTTTATAACGGTGTTTGGATAAATAGGAGAATATGAAGCAGGAACACCGGCGTTGCTGTCTTATTAGCATCGTTAGCCTCTTAGCTCGACCGCTAACACGAGTGTCTGCTAAAGGCTAACCTGTTGTACTACCGGTGGTTGTTATTACAAATGAGCAAACGGGTGTTTTTCGGTCTTATTTCAGAGCTCGGGTCATATTATGAGTGGAGCGACTTACAAAGCCAACGGCGCCGTGTATCCTCCCTCATCAGCGATGATGAAGAAGCCGAAGATGGAGCAAATTCAGGCCGACCGTGAGCTCTTCCTACAGGCCTTTGAAAGTGAGAATGCATCCACCTACTGACTTTTCAGTTAGTTGTTAGGTTTCGACAACACGAGGAGAATCAATTGAAGCATTTACACACCAAATGTACTCAGTTATTGTCATTTTTTCAATAAAGTACTTGCACGCAGGCAATCATGCGGAGCACCTTTTTATTAAAATCTTATAAAAGCCCCTGTCATAACAACCCCCTAGGGCAGAACTTATAATGGTTAACTAAGCAAAGCCACATTTTTGTTCTAGCAAAATAATTTTCCTGGTTGGTGTACGTATATTGAGTCTATATTTGTCAAACCTGTTGGCATAATTTTTTGACAAACTTCTCTGGTGTTTACTTTGTTTAAAAAAAATTGGAAATATAGAGTAACCCCTTTTCCTTTCAATAGAGCCCACACAGATTTACCGATTTCTTCGCACAAGGAACTTAATTGCAGTAAGTATTCTATTTAAAATGCATTTTCTTTACGTGATTACAAAAATATTGGAGGAAGAAGGTATTGTCACTTTTGTATCACTTATAGCTCCGAAATAGCTCCAATATGGGCCTTGCTGGCCCTCCTCTGTGGTGATGTTTTTTTTTTTGTTTTTTTTTTACTGCTACTGAGAATAAAATATTTTTATTAACAACAATCCATCCTTCCTCCTTGTTCAAAACACTATTAACTTTGTTTAAATGAACATACAGGTAAAAACAAACGTGCAATATTCTGACATGACACCAACACTGTTGAACATCTATGGAGGGTGTGTAAATATAGATAATAGAATGGTTCTTCTTTTTTTTTTTTAAAGAAATATCACTTGATCCTATTTTTATTTACATTGCTTATATTTTACTTCAATTACTTCCAATGAAAAGCAATCCGTATTTGTTGGTTCTGTGCTACAAATCTTTATTTATGTGCCCGCATATTGCCCAGATGAACGAGAACTTTATGTTCCTTCTCAACACACAGTGTTTATTATATATCCGTAACTATACAAGTTCTGTTTTCAAAAACATAACGTTAAAGTCAAAGAGTGTATGACATGGTGGTAACAGCGTCTGTCTGAACTTTTTGGGTCTGTGATGGGAATTAGTTGTTGAATCATTTTGTATTAACCGACATATTAACACAAATATGACAAAAAAACTTAGTCTCATTTTATACATGACAAATGTTAAAGAGAAACACCAAATTACTGGTTTTCTTTTTTGGTAATACAACTGCTTTTCCTCGTGTTTTTTCATAGATTGATTTTCTTTCTTCTTTTTTTAACTACAGAATTATTGTTTTAAAGTCACTCAACTTTATAATTTTTATTGGATACGACACTAGTTGTTTTGCTGTAGCAAATCTTAAAACAGAAAAAAGTTATATTAAAATGGAAAAAAAGCTGCAACATGCACTGAGTAACAGCTAATGACCAAATAGTTATGATTAATCTGTAAACTGCAATTATTATTATTATTGATTACCAGTTCCAGACATCTTTTGTAATAACCAGCCACCATTTCCTAAGTTCTTTTTTTACTGTCCTAAAAACTAAAAAAAGTTTTGCATTTGACAAAGCCAAAGTAGAAACAGTTGAGCAAGTAGTAAAACTAGTTTTGGCTTTTAAGTTTTCAAACACATTTCTTCTAAAGGAATTTGAAGTACATTGTCTACTGCTAGAATGTATTACGTTAGTTTTCCATGCGGTAATATCTTTTCACTGTATATATTATAGGGAGTAGTAGAAAATATGTCTACCTTGGTAAACTGAGAAGCCGTTCTCAAGTATAGGTTTCTCCACCATGAAATTTTGATTTGTCTTTTTTTCTTCTAGCCCATATTTTTGCACAGGACGCTGACCTTCATGTCTCACAGAAACAGTCGAACAAATGCCAGAAGGTAAGAAGTTTGCAGATTTTTGATTGATAAATATTACTCTGAATTGAATGAAAATGGTCAAAAGTCAGCTTTAAGACAACATTAATTTAGAACCTGTTTTTTTTCTCCCAGGAAAACATTCAAAGTGGATAGTTTGTTACAGAAAGTGGAAAAAATGAAAGGAGAGCAGGATACACCAAGGTATCACAAGTTACAGGAATACATTTATCTTTACAGTGTTTATGAGTTGGGGATGTCATGGTGAAAATATTAATGCCACTGTTAGAGTACCCTCTGAACCTCCTTTTAAGGTGACTGGACAAAGCAATTGGCATACATAAATAATGGGCAGCAAAAAAGAAACCTTAACCGCAGTTGTGACATACTAATGGATGTACTTCCTATTAAACTTGACATTGATTAGTGTTTATAAATAATAAACTGCTACAGCAAAAGGCCATCTACATCTTCTACAATCATGTACCAAGCTTTAATACTCTGTAGCTCTACTTAAATTAGACTCTCGTACACACACTCACCGCCAGTCTTATCCTCACATCCTATCTCTGCTTTTATCTAATGTTTTTGCCAGACCACCATCTCCAGTCATTGACCTGGTCTATGTTGATGGTCACTATGGAGGAGTGTGTCTTTTCTTGATAGCTTAATGCTGGATTGCAAACAGAACTTTTATTTTACCCACATTTTTCTCAACTACTGGATTAGATGCATGTGACCAACATCTGAATCCTGGCTGAGGAAGGAGGCGAGTGTCCAGCCTCACTGGCTGTCTGCCCTGTCTTGTTACAGATGACAACCTACTTCTAGGCCCTCAAGTGTTTGCATTAGATAGCTTTTGTAAATTTCGCGCTGTGTAAACAAAAGAGCAGCTGTTCTTGGCTTTTGGGTTATACGTGATAGCAGTCCTACAGTCTTGTACCAGGAAAAACAAATGGTGGACCATCAGACAGATGGTGGATATTTTATGAGGGCTACATGGTGCCGGGGTGGGGTTATTAGAATCAAACGCTCGACATCACAAAGCAGCTGAAATTAGAGCGGCTCGTTCTGAACCAAACTTCTAGATTCTGGCAGATCATAAAATATCAACACTCATTTACCTACAAACTGCTTTCTTCAGTGAAATCACTGAGGACTATTAGTTTTTTGTAAGTGATTTAGGAAACCCCTCCTACAGCTGTTATTCAATCTTTCATGGCAATTATAAAAATGTAAAACGGAGTTTGTGTCAAGCAAGTGTGAAGAGATAATATGACATAATAAAAACACTGAAGGAATTGGGGTAGTGTTCTGATAAAGAACTGAAGCTCGGTGGGGAACATTCAGTGCCTGTTAGCTCAACCTACTTTTGGTTCTTGTATTTCCTCTGCAGCATTATGACCTATGACCTAGTGTATGAATCACATTGTTACTTAAACCAGAGAAAACAGCGTCACAATAGTTGAATGTGCTTCATGTCATTTTAAGAAGATTGGTTGAATTTTAACTAATTTTGTGAACTACAAAGGGGAATTTTAGGAATTGACTTGGTGTGGGTGTGGTATGTAGGCCTTAAACAAATATGGCCTACATATTAATGTGTTCTTAGTAAGCAATGCAATCCAGTGCCCCCTGCTGGATGCTCAGGAACTAGAGTTAGAAATCTGACAAATACTATGTTGTAGTGTATTACAATATTTTACATGTTCTAAGATAAGTTTGTGACTATGGCTAATGGTGAACAGAAATTATTACAGCATGGGTCTTTTTTGCATTCAATTCACAGAGGGAGAAGAAAAAGAAATATATATATATATATATATATATATAAATAACATTTGGAAAGCTGTTAAAGTATTTTTAAACTGCGTGTGTCCCCTCATTTGGAGCATTTGACTAAATATCAGTTTATTTTCTTTCAGTTTGTCATCACATTTACAGTTAACTTTCACTGGGTTCTTCCATAAGGATGGTAAGCTGGATGTATTCTTTATTAGCTTTTTTTTTACCAACAATTACAAAATGATTCATCTAATGCTTTATTGTTAATTAAAAGCTGCCATTGTCCAGGTATTTTTATAAAAATGTTTGTTTTTGACACTAACATTTACATCTGTCAGCATAATGTACTCAAGATACATCTCTAGTCTACTATAAAGTACTACTAAAAGTATGAAACACATTATTCTGTTGTGTTGTTAACAATGATAGTCAACCTAAACATTTTTTGTCCTCTCAAACAGAAAAGCCATCTCAGGTTTCAGAAAATGAACAACATTCTGTGTCCTTAGAGGTGCTACTTGTCAAAGTCTGCCATAAAAAACGCAAGGTAGAGTGGAGTTCTTGTGATCTATTTTCAATTTCAGAGACAGATGTGATTTTTGGGGGCGCGGGGTTTTACTTCTAGTGTTTATGACGATGGTGATTTTTCGTTTAGGATGTCAGCTGTCCAATAAAGCAAGTGCCTACAGGTAAAAAGCAGGTGCCTTTGAATCCTGACGGTAACCAAACCAAGCCTGGCTCCTACCCGTCCTTACTGGTCTCCAGCAATGAGTTTGAGCCCAGCAACAGTCACATGGTGAAGTCTTATTCACTCTTATTCAGAGTGTCGCATACAGGAAGGAGAAACACCAATGGCCTGGTCAATGGAGAGGCAAATGAAAACATTGGTAAGAAATCCACAGTTTGGTCTTTATTATGGTGTTTTATATTCAGATCATTTTTCAGCCCCATGTAGTTGTTAATGAGATTTAAATGAATTGTCCTCTGTATTTTAATATTATTTCATACTTTGTGCACAGATGTAACTGATACTCCGAGTAGAAAAAAGAGAACCTCGTCCCACAGAGAAGAGGGAGAGAAGACGGAAACGTACATTGCCCAGATGACCGTCTTCGATAAGAATAGGTAAGGTTTTGCGATGTTTGTCCTAAAAGTGTCTCTGACATTTCAGCTAATAAGTCCTGACTTGACCGTTGCAGGAGGTTGCAGCTCCTGGATGGGGAGTATGAAGTGTCAATGCAAGGGATGGACGATAGCCCTGTGAGCAAGAAACAAGCTACATGGGAAACGATTCTTGACGGAAAGGTTAGAGTTTTAGAAGAAATACATGGCCTTGGCTGCTGCACAAAAAAAAGAACTCCCACACCTAACCTGACTTTGTTGTCCGCTCTATATCATCTACTTGACGATCCTGTGACCTACCAACAGAGGCTGCCACCATTTGAGACATTTTCTCAGGGACCCACATTGCAGTTCACGCTGCGTTGGACAGGTGACGCCAGTGGAAACTCCACTGCCACAGTCGCAAAACCCCTTGCTACCCGCAACTCTGACAGCTCCACTCCCATGGAGTCGAGGACCAGTAACCATCGAGCTGCAGTCATGAGTAAGTACAGGGGACCTTCAACCAATCTGGTTAATTTTACTTGTACCAAACTGGTGGATAAAGAAACACTGTTGTGTTCTATCATTGTACTCATTTACACGTAGGTCGTTTTTACAGCATGTGTTCAGATGTCCCCCAGCCTCTGTCATAAAATCAGACATGTGCAGCTCACGGCACTGGTGGCCGCAGTACAAAATACACACGTTCAAAAACCTACTTTATATTTCACCAGAAGATGGCAGCAGACCTGTAGCCACACTCAAACCCTTGTTTTTGTCATTTCATGTGGTATTAATATATGTGAGGCAGATTGATTTTGGAAAAAACTTGCTAATATTTTTGTGCTCTTTGTAAAAAAAAAAAAAGGAAAAACAATTAAAATATGAGTTGATGTAGAAGAATCAGGATCCTAATTAGGAATTACCAACTTAAAATGGAATGTGTAGAACTTGTTTCAGATTTTAAAATTAACTTGTAATTACATTTTTGATGTTTAGGGAACATTGTCATTTTTAATTATATCACAGCTTAGTCTCTTTCATATTGTTTGCATTTACAATTGTTCTTAGTAAAACAAAAAAAATTGCGTTTGTTCAATTCAGCGGTGAAAAAGTCGGTCACCACCGAGATCCAGCTGAGACAAGAGCAGATACCGTGTGAGCCACGACAGAAGCTTCGTATATTTTATCAGGTAAGGATTAGGTGATTTTATTTACTCTCC